GCCAAAAATCAGACAAATGCTGAAAAAATATCTCCGGATATAGCTAGATATTTATGGGGGAAGCATATAGAGAAATTTAGGTATGTTTATGGCCAGAGGCCACTATAGCTACCGTATATCTTGTGATCTCGCCACACCATTGGCCAACCGAAGTTTTATAATTAATCTCAGTCTGCACGCGTCTTGTTTATGTTTAAAAAAAATAACAAAATTCCCCCACTTTTGCGTAGAAGTAAACAAAATTGGCGTCACTGGGAAGACTCTAACGAAATGGAAAACAAAATACAAAACTATTTGCGGCCGACAACACTTTAAACTCAAATAAACAAACGAAGCTGAAGAGAAATGCGGGATGTTTTATCTAATCAAGTAATGCTTATGGTGGCCATTACATAAGTTGTAAGCAGCTTCTTGTGCCCCAGTGCGATTAAAACAAATGTTGGCGTTTTCATTAAAAGCCAAACAAACATCTGAATCCATAGCGGCCAGCATTAAAGCAGTGTGGAGTGAACCGTGGCTGAAATAAAGTGAACCGACTTGGGCATTTCTTTCTGGGTTATTGCGCACGAACTCTGCTAACTTAGACCCACCCCGTTTAATAGTATCTCGGAGCACACTCTGAAAGCATAGCTTGAAGATACTGCGCAGTTTTCAGATACAGCAAATACAGCATAGAGGCAAATGACAAACGCCAACGCATCCATCGACAGAAGCTTTATACATTTGTGCCACTTCCAGCGAAGCTGCTTTTTATTCATTCTCTTGAAAAAATATTGTGCGTATTTGTGGAGAATATAAAATATAAATATAAAATTTCTTCAAGCTGTAAGGTCAATGCATTCTAATGGATACCATAACAATTATTGGGGTTTTGTATGACAAGTCATGAGGCTCATGGTTTTTAAATCTTAAACTTCCTAATCCTTCAATACACTATTTTAATATTTCACAACCGTTTAGAACTGATATTTCTTCACTCCTAGTGACTACAAAGTCCAATAATTCCATTTCAAAGCTCTTGGAAATGACGCAAGTGATTCCACCCACCCGAACAAAGAGACACTTGTCAAGTATTAGTGGCTACTGTACCCATACCTTTAAAACCCAGGGGGAGTAAGGAGGTTGGCCAAGTTCATTATATGGCAACTGCTTATCAAGCGATCAATGTGGGATTGCAGGTTCTCTGTATGTCACCCAGCACATACGAGATAATTAAATGAATAAAAGACCCTGTGTATACGATTTCAAGTTCGCTTACATATAATGGCATTTGGATGAGCTTTTTTATTATATTTTTATATGTGCAAATGGATGCTTTATAACGCGTAATTTCAATCAGGAGACGTGAGACGCAATTGACATTATTCCCTGGGAATCTTCTTAGGCCAATCCGGTGGACACGTCGCATTTATTTTATCACTTTGTTTATCAGTATCAGTGTCAGTCCCCAGCTGCTTCATATAGAATACTGGGTCAGCGCCGTCTGTGGCCTCCAGAATAGTCTGGTATGGTATGGTAAACAATCAATCAATCTAATATTCCGGCAGTCAATCGATTTACGCGCCCTTCTGGGACAGATTACATCAGCCCATCAGCAGTTTCTCTGGTGACTGGGAATAGCTCATCATCATGAGTTTTAACTCATGAGTCGCAATTAAATAATCTGAATTTTTACAAAAAAAATAAATAGCATCAAGGAAAAGTAATTTCCTAGCAAATCCATTACCTATATATAAGAAATATTAATAGAACTCCCTCTTAAGTTCTATACTTTAAATTCAATTTCTTCAATTCAATTTTTCTTCCCCTACTAATCGAATTATTGTTTGACACCATTCTGGCCAAAACCTCCATTCCTAGCCATAAATGTAGCATGCAAAGTGCCTTTATTTAAACACAGCAATTGTGTTTGAACGTCGCCAATTAAAAGGGAGATTTATGAGAGCAAATAAATCGAGTCAGACCCCCTCAGACCCATGCAGACGACACCCCTAGGCAGGCAGGCAGTCGGTTTAAAAATAGTTCCAACCGCAGTTGGTTACTGTGACTGTTACTGGATTTCCCCTACTTTTGGTGCAGAAACTGAGAATCCACTCGCTCTCTCCCGATATTTTCGTTTCAATTTTGTTTACAAACAAATTTGTTTGACCTGCGCAGTCGGAGGAAAGAAAGAAAGCATTTCCCCCCCCCGATGTCGATTACCTAGCAACCTTCACAGGCCCTATTGAATGTTTTGGTTTCGGTTCACTCTCTTGCTGCAATTATGTGTATACTACATACATATATATTTATATATATATATATATATTCTGGGTACATATACACACATAGTAATGACTTCCGCATTTAGGGAAATGTAGGCCCAGGAAAAGTTATTCGCAGCCTCTCCTTCCGCAACATTTTTGGGGGTCACCTTTGCTATTTTCGGGTTCTAGGGAGACCAACATTTTTGAGCAGCTCCCTTTGAACATCCCCTCCGGTCGGTAGGGCCACCCCGGAACCCCCCACATGAGCTCGGTTAAGCTGCAAATCGATGAAAGGCGCTAGCTAACTGCAAATCAGCGCCAGTGGAAAATGAACACGTCAGCAACCCCCGCCGTGTGGCAGGGGCAGGAAGAACTGCGCAGTGTGCAGTCACCAGTTACTGGGCCTACCTCCTGAAACCACCCCCCAGACACACTCTCCTCCCCACGATTCCTACCCTATAGGCCAAGTTGCTGCAGCTGCAGCGTTTATTTGAAAATTATGACATAATTTTTGACTTTCTGACGCGAAGCCAAAACAAAAAAAAAGGAGCTCTATAAAAACGCAAGAGTTATATAACTCACGAATACCAGGCAACTTGAACTTGACACTGGGCCTGTGGTATTGTCTTTTTGTTTCGGGTCCTGGGTAAATGGCAAACAGGTTTTTCCCACACCAGACTCACTTTCTTCTTTCTTCGTTCCCACAAATCATAAATCAGGTCCTGCCAGGCTGGCCCGAGAACATCAAGTGTTCGTTGTTTGGCCGGCTTTGTTTGGATATCTTTCAGATACACATGTGTAATTACAGTTACGACAAGGCGGCTGACTAACTTTCTAATTATGGACGGGAATTATCGGGAGGACGGGAGGGCCGAGGGTCTGTCGGGGACGCAATGCGTGCCATTTTGGGATTAGCCAGCTGCCGACTCGGCTACCTGGTAAGTGTTTAGCCGGGTATCTGGTATCTGCTGGGTTTTTGTATCCGTATCTGTATCTGTATCCGTTGGGTTGGCTGAGTGAGAGATGACCCTAGGGGCCGTGACAAACTGCCGCGTCAGTTGGCAGCAAAAACTCTGCTCTGCTAATTAAAGTCTCTAATTCCGTCTAACGATGACTTAATTGCCTCTATTCCCTACTCCAGTGACTAGTTGGCTTGGCTCGAGTGAAAAGCGCCTTAAAGTTGACCAAAGCCTTAAAAGGCAAAGACTGGTTCAAAAATAGCACACGAAGGAACTGACACTGGCACAAAAGATAGAAAAAGTTAACAAAAAAATTGGGTCGTCTTTATAGAAGTATCTATTTTTAAGGCTTACACAGAAACAAGGTGTTACTAGTTTGAATAAAGCTTAAAGAAGAATGGGTTGAGTTAGAGATTTGTTTTTCTCTCTCTGTAATAGTTGGTTTTGCTGCTGTTTACCCTTTTTGGCCAATTAAGACGACCAGAGATTCGTTGGCTGCGATCGAGCACCAAAAGTATCTGTCAGATACACACACGGCCGCAGCCGAATCTCTTCGCTGCAGCAGCTTCATCAGCTGTTTTATTGTTTATGTTGTTGTCTGTGGCTTTTGTTTTTCAATTTTTCTTTCGTTACCACAGACAAGCAACTAGCCAGACTTGATTTATCATCCGGGACCATTCTCTCCAACTCAGCTCCTCTTTTATTTTATTTTTTGTTTAGTTTTCTTCCAGCACCTTCAGATCGGCTCGGACAATGGACAATGGCAACTGCAAGACCTGTTCTGCACATTTCCTATACTACATGATTCACTTGGGTTTTCGGTTTTCGGGCCTCCACTTGTATTGGTAATCGTATCTATAGTGCCCTCTTCCAAAAGCAAATCTTTGGCTCCCAAGCAGCCAACTTGCTCCCTATATTTGTTCGTTTTTGGCTTGGATCTTGGCTAACATTTTTTGAGCATTTCAAGTAGGCAGTTTTCTGTTGGCAGCCAGCCAAGGGTATTTTTGGCCATTGAAATGCTCTGTTTGGATGAGGAAATAATAATTGCAAGGCTCATTAAGATGTTAATCAGCGCAACATTCATTGCACTTGTCGCCAACGGTTGACACTCCATGAACACACAATCATAAAGTCGGTGCTGAATAAAACTTGATCGGGGCAAAGATCAAATAAGAGCACTGAGAAAAATACAGGCTAATAAGTAACAAAAAAAGGTCATTTGGATTTATGTATATTTACTTCCTCTTTTGATTAAATCTTTTATTTACTTTTTAATTTTTTTCTCGGTGCATTCAGCTGGAAAATGCCTGCGATCTGAGATGTGGCACGGATCTGATAACGATCGCCACAAATGCTGAAAACGTGATGCAAGTCAAATTTATGGCTATTAGATGCCCAGAATGGGAACTCCTTATTCGTCCGATTTGCAGCCGAAAACATGGGGGAAAAACAGTTGGGGGAAGAAAAAAAAATGTTACTTGGCCTGGCCAAGGCAAAGAAACCCCTCACACTGACACCGACTCACTCACACAGGCGCAAAAGTGTGAACTCTTTGAATGCGAAGGTGCAATCAGAATTTTTCCCTGTCTTTTGGTTTTGTTTGCATTTTTGTGTATGTATCGCTTGGCTGCACTTTAGATGTTTGTACATTGTGCATGTAAATCGGCTTTCAGCAAACTTTGATGCTAAACATATATAATAATGTACACATACACAAGTATATGGTTTGAGGGTCCTTTCCTTGACGGACTTCCGCCTTAGCTTCTTTTTTTTTTGGGGTTAAAACTGCACTTACTTGCTGCTGGGAGTTTATTGATCGATTGATGGCCGAATCCCTCTTCTCTGGCTGTCCTCTGGCACCCTCAACTAATTTGCACTGGCAAAGATTTTCACAATTTTTTAAATGTTTTTTGTTGTGATTTTTTATTATTTTCTGATTGCTTCCGTTTGAAAACTGGTAGAGGGGTGAGAAGTGCAGAGAGGCAAGAACGACGCAGCAGGAACTCCGTGACGTATGCTAGCAACGACTGACGAGCGAATGATGGCAGAAGGCTCAGAAACTAGCTGCCAAAGCTGGTTCTTTGTATCCGTGTTTCGGCCTGCCCTGGTATTGGTATTTCTGGCGGTGTGTTGGTGCCTCTACAGCTGAGCCCGACACACTTACCCTGTTTCTCAGTCGCTGTTTCCGCTGCTGCGCATGTGCAAGAGAGGCTTACCAGTTAATACCCTACCACCGCTGAGGTCTTTTGTATATTTCGGAAGTTTTATGGAATTAAAGAAATTGTTTAAATTTGACTTTTTTTTAATCTTTTACGTCTACTATCAACTAAATGTATTATTTAATTAAAAAACAAATACAATAAAATTGTTAGAGAAAGTCAAACACCTAGAGTTTTTTCTCCAGCAAATAAGGCTCAACAATATATAAAACATTCGTCTTTAACTAGCCTTAAAATTTGAGCATCATTCCTAATCCTTTGTTGATTGATATCTGGATTGGCAGTCTTAAATTAAATCATTTTTGTCTTGAAGTTTTTAAAAAGTTCGGTTTTTACAAAAAAGAAATATGGGAAATGAAAGCAACAAAACAGATAAACAGATACAGATAATATTACTGATTTAAATAATGAACAATAACTGCAAAACTTTAAAGCTTTCAATTTAATTCATATTTTGATTAAGAATATAGTACTTTCAAATTCAAAAACAAAGATAATGAGGGTATATCACAACCGTCTTGTTGAAGATACTATATACTGTTGTAATGTGCAGCACTCTCTTCTGACTCTCCCCATGTTTGGCGTCTGTGCAGTTTCCAGCAGCTGATTTTGTTTGTATACAAAAGTCATATTGCAGAGAGGAAAATATAAAAATATTTATACATACATACAGACGCTTATAACAAAAATAAAGGTTAAAAATTAAGTAATTTGAAGTTAATCTAAGTAATTTAAGTAGGTATATTTAAGCTTGTTACTAAAGAACTTAATAAAATTCTTATTGTGTCCATGGAAAATATATATATTCAAAATACATATTTTTTTAATATACTCGAATCTCTATGAAAAATAGAAAATAATTATCATTTGAGGTAAAAATATTTAAAAAAAATGTCTTAAATTATACTAAAAATTTGACAATGTAACGACCATCGAGAAAATACTAAAAACTTTGGTATATTTAAAAAATACCATCCGCGAGTGTGACCGCTCACCCCGACTCACGACCTATCGCAAAAACCTGTGGCAAATCCAAAGGCACGTGTTTACATTTTTGGAAGTTCGACGCAGTTGCCTCATTTTCGCATTTTTAGCCGTGAATTTAACTACCAAACAGCAAAATGGGCAGAAATAACCGATCACGAAAGCGCCGCGATGAAATGAACAAGATCAAGAAGGTGCGCTACGAGGCCAAGGAACTTATCCGATTGAAGAAGACCCTGGGACTGATAGATGCCGAAGGAAATGAGATAATGAAAGACATCAGCGAGGTGGCGCAGGTTAAGACCTCCAAGGAGATCAAGAGGGTAAGTTTTGATGAAAATATTTCTTGGTCGCTCAGTAACAGTGTTCCATGTAGGAAGCGAAATCCAAAGAGGAACAGGAACTGATCTACGAGCACCAGGAAAGCCTCGAAAAGGGTGAACCGGTGGCCGTTGTCAACGAGAACACTGGCGTGGAGCATGTCTTCAACAGCAAAACCCTTAAGGATCAGTACGGAAACTACCCGGCGTGGTTCAAGAAGAAGAAGACTGCCAAGCGTCTACGCAAGAAGCAGCACGCCCAGAAGAAGAACTTCAAACAGGCCTGGACCACTGTGAACGTTCCTCTGTAATCGGGGAGATGTATCTACTTTAGTTTGTAAGTGCCGGTTAGTTTAGTTGGATATTGTAGCCAGTTTCTACAATTATGTTGTAGCTAAGATTTTACATTGCATATTAAACTCCTGAAATTGAAACATCTGACATCTTAAACGTTAAAGCTATGTGATTATATTGCGTACAAGAACTTACAAGCTATACATAGATTTCGAGTCATGGGATGAGTACAACAACTATTCAACGCTTAAAGTAGACACTAAAATGGTAATGGTAGGCTGCATTGCAAAGGTGATCACAAAATTTGGGAAATAGGGTTAATTGAACTAAAAGTAGGCTAAAATCTCTATTGAACGGAACAGTAACTACGAACGCTGCACACGATGCCACTGGTGGCCGCTTCCAGGCGGCGCGTATTCGTCGACCAGATGTGCGTGGTGGCCAGAGCCGTGGACATGGTCCTGGCACTATCACCGATGGGTCATTCTGGCTTCTCCTTAAGCTCCAGCTTCTCGGTATTCTCACTGTCTCCCTCCGCTGTTTGTTCTTCAATATTGCCATGCATTACATTGGGATTGGCTTTTAGGACCGAGCCTCCGGTGAAGCCCAATATTCCACAGCCCACAGCTGCCAATCCTCCGGCTTTGATGCCGGCTACCAGACCAATGGGTCCGCCAACGCAGGTGCCGAGCAGAGCACCCACCACTGGGTACATTGCTTTTTTGTAGGTCAGCGCCTGCCGTAGCTGCCTCTCCCCCTCTTGGACATTTTCCAAAGCCTCCTCGGCATTGTCGGCGATCTTTTCCACCGCCACCGACTGCTCTGCAGTCAGTTGGCGCATGCCGTGGAACATTCCGTGCAGGTCGTAGATCTCCCTCTGTAGATTCTCCATTTGTTCGAGACAGGCTTGGCGCTGTGCTAACTGGTGCTCTTCCAGGTGGAAATTTGTCTGTAGCTGCGGCATGTGCTGGTGGGCGGGCAAGTGTCTCATGTCCATTTGCTGCGCCTGATTGTCCTCCTCGTCGTACTGGGAACCCAAAGTGGAGGTGGGGGATTTAAGTTGGAGTTCTGGAAGGGATCCTATTAGAATTTTCTGGTGTGGCTAAGCCAAGAACTTACCCGCAAAGTCCTTCATTCCAGCGAAGGCTCTTTCCCTGCCAGGGCGCATTAGCTCATCGAAGCGTTCTTGGTCCTCCTCGCGCACCTTCTCACGCAGTGCATCCATTTCCAGGAGGAGGTTTTTGATCTGTTTAATCACCCGCATAGCATTGAGTTCCTCCTTTTTGATTTTCTGCCAGTCTCCCAAGGCCAGACTCTTTTCAATATTGCTGCGGTGATTCTTGAGGAGGCTCAGATGGTGAGGAACCTACAAATATGATTTTTAGAAAAAGTGGTAATTGGTAAGGTGTAGTATACCCACCGCCATGTCCTGAAACCTCTGGATTGAGACCTCCGCCTGTTTAAGCGGCAACTTCTCATCGCCAGTCATCGTGAACTAATCTAATCTTTAAACGGGCTCCGGTTAATTAAAGCGTCGCGGTTAAAGTGAAATTAGCCACAAAGGGGCGTATCAGTTTCTCGAAACCTCCTTCTACTTCCCCAACCAACAACAGATTTCCCTTGTTTTTGTTTTTTTCTTGAGCTGCGCAGTTAGAGTTGGGCTTTGTTGGGTTTAGCGAGTGTGACGTCACCGCTTTATTTGCAGGGTCTTCAATGCGTCAAGATGCAAAGCAGCGTTCGCAGCCAATGAGCTGGCATGGTTTCAATTATGCTGGTGGGGGTCGCGTTGCACTGATTGATAATAATTCTATTGTTTGTGTTCCATTCAGATTTCCGTGATTAGCGCCAGTGTGGCCAGATTTGATTTGAAAAATAATACCAGTATGCCTGAAAAATACTGCAACGTGCTTCGACAGCTAAACTGTGTAGAATACTTGTATCTTACATAGTATTTTACATAGGAAATTGTTGACCCGGGGGCAATATTTGAATTTGAAGACTTTGTTGTAATCAGATTGTGTATTTTGTTCGTCTCTATTTTACTTCTTAAAAATAAAAAACATAATTTTTTACACCTTTGTCTATGAAGAGTATTTTTAAATAGGATGATTCTAATTCTTCCCATTTTTTGATAAAAAACAATGTTGAGTGTTTAAAATGCATTTATTTGTGCAGTGATTTCTCATATAAATTACAATTATATACAGATACATGCAGAAACTAAACGCTGCACCTTTCCTGTGGGTGGTGCAGTGGTGCGGTGGTGCGCTTACGACTAAAACTTCAGATCTCGATACATTTATGACACGTTCGCTTAAGTACTAATGGCCTGGTTCAAAGGCCGCTTCTAGAGACTACAGAGGCACTCGACTCGCTTTCGGGAATGGCTTTCAAGCAGGAGCAGCTACACGGAACAGAGTGGACAATTAAGTTAACTACGAGTAACATTTAATTAAAGTAGTGTAGGGAAATGCAGTTCTGTTTCAGGGGCAGTTGGCATCCGGGCCATTCCGGCACTTCAGCAGCAGATTCAGCATTCCCTCCAGTTTGTTTGTTCGTGACTCTGTCTTGTAGAGATTCGTCTGAAGGCGGTTGACATCTTGTGCCTGCTTTTCCTGTAAAATTTTAACTTCTTTAAAAAATATTCAATTTAATTTTGTGTAGCTCTTACCAGTGTGCTCAGCCGGCTTTTCAGCGTGTCCACCATGCTGTAAGTGGCCTGGAGCGATTTCTGCAGCTCGTTGGTGTGAACCCGCTCATTGGCCAGTGACTTTTCAATCTTCTGCAGCCGGATCACCACCTCCGTATCTGTATCGTCGATGTCATTCTCCAAGTCTCTTGCTTCGAAGGCATCATCTGCGTGGGAGGAGGTCTTCCGGCAGCTCTGCTGGTCCGCCTGAAGCACGAATCCCTGACGGCAGCGGCAGACGTAGGATCCTGGTGTATTCACGCACTGCTGATCGCAGGGCTTCTCCGTCTGGCACTCGTTGATGTCCTGTTCGCAGTAACGACCCGTATAACCAGCCGGACAGCTACAAGTGTTTGGAGCGGTGCAATTTCCGCTGTTTTGACAGCGCACGGAGCAAACAGCTTAAATAAAAATAAAAAAAAAAGTTTATCAAAGACTATACAATTAAGATAAATTAAACTAAGTTTTTGTTTTATGTATAACAGGGCGTATGCGAAATATTAAGTATACGTTATTTTATTGAAAGAAACAAAGAGGATAAAAGATAAAAGAGGATTTAAGGATAAAAAATTAATCAGTATTTGAATTAATCGAAAGTAAAAATCAAATTGAAATTGAATACAAAAACTTTTTTTTTATGAATATTGTTTGTAACCAGCCGTATACTCAATATTACGTATACGTAAATGTATCTGTATCTATACGTTACGTATACGTATTATCGTGTTTTTTATACATTGCTGACTAAATTTTTAACTCACGTTTCATGCACGCGTCCGCCCTTGGGTTCTCCCGGCTCCAGCCAGTACAGCAGTCGTAGGTCATCTGCTGGGCGGTTTTGTGGTCGATGACATCCCGATAAGCCTGCTCGTGGACCACCTGCACCCGCGTGCACATCTGTCCGTTGTAAGAGGGCGGCTGGCAGGGCGTGCTAACGTGTTTCCAAGTCGGCCGAGTGTATACCTCTGTTCGCTTCACGGGCATCGTCACCGTCCGCTGCTGCACGCAAATATGCCGTCTAAAAACGAAAAATTACGAAGTATTTTAGAAAAATCAGAGCGAGGTGTGAAGTTGGTTGGCTGACCCAAATCAGCGGCTCATCTGCAAAAGTGAAATTGACTTTTCCAGACGACTTTTCCAGCCAATTACTGTCATAACAAGGAGGCGGACAACAGGTTGCTGCGCCCAGCAACAGACCAAGAGTCTGGACAATTGTCACATGTGTCCGCAGCTGTCCGTGTGTCCGCAAAGAGCGGACAACTTGCCGGGCCGATACGAGCGTGTCTCCGCGTCAGCATCGTCGAGTATCAGTGATGACAAACACGACATGCTCCCAGTCGGATGACTTGCAGCCATGTCATTTGTCCGACAATGTAAAATGAAAAAAAAACCCAACCATTTTGAGGAGCTGGCCGCAGTGCCAAGTGCTCCAGTTCACGCAACAGACAGTTTAGTTTCTGTCAAACGTTGACACGGATGGAAATTAAAAGATTACTAAAAATTCCTGCAAGCTTACTAAACTTTGTTTTAGTTATCAGTTGGTCTGGAAAATAAAAAATTTGTCATTAAATTAAAAACCGCATCTAAAAATCTATTAAAAAGAAGAAATTCTAACTGAAGCCTTATTCCTGTCGGCACCAAAATATTTTTCAAAGACCAAATGCACTTTTAAAATCCATTAAAAATTTAATGATGTGATGCACAGGCAATGGGGTTAACTCCCAAGCATTTCACCTGTACCATGGCTTTAGTGCTAATAAAACTTCCCTCCGTAAACACTTATCACACACACCCTAGATATAAACACACAAAAAATCTCTCGACTCCTTCGACGCCAGCCCAGTGCTTCTCAAACCAAAAATATACAAATAACGACTTAGGCAATGCTCTTAAGACCTTTAGCCCCGAGCTGGCAAACATAAAAAGCGCTGATAATAAGCGGTTTTTGACTTTGGTTGCCAAAAAAAGGCAAAAGTGGCCCAAAACCGAGGTGAATCCATAAATTGGCAGACCGAGGCAGCCGCTATCCGCTGCTGTTGCAGCCTCTTGGTGTTGCTGCTGCACTGTTGCTGTTGATGTTGCTGCTGTTGCAGTTGCTGGTTGCTGGTGGCTGATGGTGTCGTAATTGGCAATGCGGGCCGAAAACAATTGCCAACGCGTGACGTGGCCACTGAGTGACGACTGACTGGCTGACTGCCGCGATCGCTGGCCTTTTTCTGGCGAAAAAACCAACAAAAAAGTGTCTGATATAAACGAGCAAGGCAAAGTTGGCCGAAAAGTGGCACACACAGTTGTGGCACTATATTGGTCCTGTGACCGGGACATTTACCAATTTCTTTATTGCCGCACATGCATATTTATGCTGCGGACCGTTGTTCTTATTGTTTTGCTGTAACTGGCTTCTCTTGTACCATAATTCTCACGTTATTTATGCGCCAGCATTTCCAGCGTAAAGGGCGCCAAACAAACGGGACCAGATATACCAAACAACAAAAAATACTTCCAGCCAAGTCCAGAAAAAAAAAACAATAACAAAAAACGGCCAACAAAATGCGGAAGTTTTCTTTCGAAAAGAAGAAACTGTGCCAACAAAGTGCAACATGAAATTCTCATTCCCATTTCCATCTTCATTCCACTGTCTGCATAAATCTCAGAACAGATTCAAAATACACAGAAAAAAATGTTAGAGATTCATTCAGATATAACATGATCAGATATGTACATAATTCTAAAAATATAATCATAGAAAAGTTAGTAGTAGTTATTGGTAGGTATGGTAGATGCTTCAATAGCAAGTACTTCAAACAATCAATAAACTTGTTGAAGAATTTAAACATTTTAAAAGAAGTCCATATATTTTCTCCCTGTGCAGATGCACATGATGCACCCCCGACCTCTAGAAGCTTCAACCCCTTCCCACTGACCAGCATCAAACACATATATCCCGCTGCGCCAGACAGCGCCAGACATAGTGTAATCGCATGCATTTGGGCTTGTGAATGGCTTCATTGCTTTGTTTAGAAACGTTTAGGCTAAAATTAAATTTGAATTTGTAATTGCCGAATGCCAGAACACCTGTGGCTAGACCTCAGCGAACTTCTTCACACAGGGCACCAGTGCACCGGCAGAAGACCCCCGAAATCTCAGTTATTTATATAAGCTGCATCCCAGGGTTCCGGTTCCAATACGACAGACCCATAAAATTATAAAAACATCAATCAAAATTGTATTTCGGGCAACAGCAGCGGCGGCAGCCAGAAATAAAATGCCGTGGCAGGCCAATTAATCAAAAAAATTAAAACTGTTAAATTTTACAAGAAATGCAACCAGCCGCAAGTATATTGGCCACGAGACTGGGAAGAGACACAAAAGAGATGCATTTTAAGAAATGCTGGCCGGAGGAGGATGCTGGCTGGAGGAACACGGGCCAAAGTTTGTGAGTGCGGTTTATTGATTTACGATTTATTTTCATTGCCCGCCACGCAGAAATTAATGAGCCATCGATGGCTTCGGGCCAAGAGGTGATCCCGAGCGGGTGTGTGGGCTTAATGGAGTGTTTCAGCGGACCCAGGGCTAATAAATGGACCCTCTAAGTGGGCATAGGAAGATTGAGTTCAAAGTACATAAGTAGTCGTCCCGAGATGAGTCAGAGTCATGTATTTAAAAAGTAAATGCTTTTTTCTTGAGATATTTATTATCTTCACCTTGACTAACGGTGATTAAGTAAAGTAGTAATGCCTTTCACAAAATATATCTATTTTATCATTTTCCTTTGTGTAATTTTAAACCTTGGGAAACTTATTAAAAGACTTAATGTAATCCATGAAAAGTTCAACCTTAAAATTTCCTTTGTATATCATTTTTATTGCCAAACAAACTAATTAGGCAAATACAATGGGTTTAAGCCAGATTGATTGCTATTATGGAAGGTCTTTCAATAACCAATCCCGATTTAAATCATTTTTATTGGAGCTCTTTGGATATTGGAGCCATCCGATAGCGTCTCTTTTGGAAAACCAGTTGGCATTTTCTCAATCTTTACAACTGCAACGTGAATGCATTTAAAAAACAGTTAAGACGAATAGTAAAATCTTTGGCCACAAAAACTTGGCGACACTTAACAGCTCTAAACTGTTTTGAGATAGGCCGGGAAAGTGCAGGTCTTTCTTGCAGAGTTTGTCGACGTGTGTGTGCTTATCGGGTTTCCAAATGAAAATGTGAAATAAATTTATAAAAACGTAAAAATATTGTAACCACAGTCGTAAAATGGAAGTTTATGGCCCTGTCCGGCACGGAGTAGTGAAACGCTTTGGGCCTGGACTGGTCATAAGCTATGCCAAAAGCCTTGCCCCAAAACTTGGCCAAAAACTCGGCTCAAGAGCGAGTCAGCAATGGCTAACTGTATTGGGCCATTTGAGGTCCGCCAAACTGGGCAGCTAATCTGATTTGCTACATGGAATTAGAATTTAAATTGGCCGGACCAGCAAATGCACAAATCCAGAACAGAGCCCCACAACTGCACTGCATCATTAGGCGAGTTGGATGCACTCACCCACAATGTATATGGCCTCGGTAATCCGATGCACAGGAAAAAATAAGGACTAGGCCTTATATCCTTTATGTTCTGATTTTTTTAAACTAATCTTACAATAATTTTTCCACCAAGTTTTTCTTTTTGGTTTAAACTTTCATTGCAATTTTTAAAACACACTCTCTTCCATGTACTTCCATTTACCAAATCTAGTTGTTATACTTTCAGTGCACCTTGTAACACGACCAAGACGACGACAACAACGACAAGAGGAACAACCACGACAACGACAAGCACAGCGGCGAAGGAGGAGAACATTTTTAGACATGCTTCCTGGTCCAGCTGGCCTGGCTTTATTTGGATTCTTACTTAGCGTAAAATGCAACGCCCATGTGACCACAACAGCCAGAAGCCAAGGAACCCGAAGAAGATGCCACAGCGCTTGAGACTGAGACCACGGAGACGCACTGCCTCAGCCATGACCATTTCTAATAATATTTCAGTCATGTCCACGGCCGGCAAGTGCAGCAGCCATCAGACAGCAGGCAGCAGCTCCACCGCTTTCGGTTTTGTTCGTTTTCTGCCAGGAGAATTATTACAGCACTCAGCAGAGACTAAAAGTGGAAATCCAATATGCGACTGGACAAATACCCGTACCCGCAGCTGGAACAGGGACTCCCCTGGGAAGAAGATTCCCTCATCATTGCAGGCACTTCCTCATCCAAAAAGGAAAACATCGACAGCTCAACTCGAGAGAATTTTTTCCGTGGCTTTGAAGTACTTGTCAGCACTAAATCAGGATAGATATCTTTCAGATCAAATGAGGATAATATATGGGCATTATATTTAAAAGTTTTTATAAGGAAATTTTATTCATTTATGGGTCTGTTAGAATTTTAGTGATTTAAGAACTACTACAGTCCATATTTTTTACAAACTCCTTGCAATAGTTAATAGACATCTTGGAGTTGCTGGCAGAAATCGCCAGTCACGGCCAACTGCAGCCAGCCAGTTCTAATTTGGCTGTAAATTTGTCTTGCTCTCTTGGCCAGATTATGCAATAAAAGACGCAGAAGGAATTTGTTGCGAAAAGTGAAAAGAAAATTGCCGCAAGTGTCAGACGGCTTGCGAGTTGCAGATGAAAATGGACTTGGAAAATGGTAGGATGGATGGAGTGCGTCGGCAGCGCTATTTTGTGGTAATCTGAGCTGATTATATACAACATTGGTCAGGAAGTGGCCCCAAAAGCGATACTGCGGTCCCTGCCCCTTGATTTTCCTTCTTTTGTATTTTTTTGTACAACATAATCGCGCGATAAAAGATCTCGGGGCCTGTCAATGCGTTCCTCCCTCTTGCCAGATCTCCACCCAGCCGGGCACTAATGCAGCCCTTCTTGTGGAGGCCCTGCAGCCTCTGGATACCGACATGTAGTGTGAATGTGATGCAGAGTGTGTGTGTTGGTGTGTGAGGGGCTGGTGTAAATCATG